ACCCTCTAGTTTGATATAAGATATCTTAATAATAATATAATCTTTATAAGGGTCTATTTCCATTCCCATTTCAATAAGTATATATTATATATACAATAGACCTTGAGATCTGTGATACTGGAATCAGTACCGAATATATCCGTACCAAATCCAAATATTCAAATATTTTTCATAAAATCTATCATTTGAGCTCTCATTAAATCGTATCCTTTCAACATGTGCTTTGACTCAATAATGAACTATTTCACATACCGGCGAAATAGTTTATGAGAACACAAGCAAGCCAAAGGATAGATATTTGGTAACTTGGTTGCGGCTAACTTGAGCCCGTTTGTTGTCTTCTTGACTGTTTTCGTCTGGCTCGTGGCAGTTGCGAGCAGCAGCGCATCAAGTAAATTTATAGCAATGATGTGGCGCTGTCTTAAAGTAAAATATTGACAGTTGACTAGAAGCGAGTGTAGCATGAACTGCTGCCTGACTCTCGCTGGTTGGCAGGGCCACCAAAGTTTTCCGTTTTGGCTCTGCTCAGCTGCACGAAGAAGCAACAAGCGGCAAGAGCAGCGGCACCAGCACCAGCACCAGCAGCAGTCGAAGTAATTGCTTTCTGCTACTCATCCTGTGCGTCCTTGATGTTGCTTCCTCTTGTTGTTGTTGTTATTGTTGGCGTGGCTCGTTTTATGTGCCAGCAGCAAGACAGAAAGAGAGCGGGAGAGAGATAGAGAGCGAGACAGAGATTGTGAATGCCATGACTATGCTGCTTGTGGTTATGGCCATGACGACTGCCTCCATCTTGCCCCTACAGCCATATCCTAGCAGCCATTAGGCGACTCACAATGAAAATCGCATCGTTGGCTATATTTAATTTTTAGGCCTGTTATTGTTTAAGTTCGAGCTGGGGAATAGCGAAACATCTCAAGTTTTTAGTGCTTTATAAATATTTTAGTGCACACCCACACAGACAGGCACACCCACACAGCCACACACAGCTTGCGACACACGTGGCGTATGCGCAATATATTTTATTCATTGACTCTGAGCAAATCAATGGCAGTGAGCATCCCCTCACTCTACTCGCTGGCCCACAAATAAAGTGTATTTTCATGTCTTTCTCGCTTACACAATTCTCACAATTATCTCGGAGCATTAACAAGCAAATTCATAATAATAATTGCAATCACTTCAATGGTGCATAAACATTTTCCAGAAGCTGCTGCTGTAGACGTGCCGTCTTTAGGGCATAATAATTGGCACATTGCCTATTTGAGTTGAGTTTGCAGTGAAGTAGTTGCTCCTGGACGTTGTCCTGGCTGATTTAGATCCTTGAATTAATTATCGTCCTGCACAAAGTCGCCTTGCATTATTTACTAAATCGTCAGCTGATAATTTATGTGCAGCCTGACCTCTGCGGACGACTACTTGTGACAGTTTTGAAATCTACAAACGCTTCATTTGATTTAATTCATCAGTCCACAAATAAATTGGTAACTATTATAATAGAATGAGTTACAATAGCAAACATTAAATGCATAATTAGACAGTAGTAGTAAGTAGTACTTGGGCTTTGTTGTGTTGTTAGCTCTCAACAATTATGAAAATATTATCCACAATTCACAATTGAGTTGATTTTCAATAAATATTATTGCTTTATAGCCCTTGCACATAATATTAAAAAAAATTTTTTAATTTTATTTCTTGCATATGTAGATAATTGAATAAGTTAATTTGGATTAATTCGCAAAGTTTGGAATGAAGAGGATAAAGAAAGATATATAAGAAATAAGAATTATATTTATTGAATGAGAGTGTTTAAATTAAAATTAAAAACCCAGCACCTTCCAAACATACATAAAAAACTTGTTGCTTAATTTTACTCAATCAAACGATTGGGGAGCAAACGGAGCAAATACACATTATCTCGCCGATCGCTAACGAATTCACTAAAGAACCCAGAGGCAATCGGTTCTTCCAAGAGTTTTTTCTCAGAGTCTGAGTCTGAGACCCTTCATTCGGAAAACGGTTATTTTTGATATTTGCTCGCTTCATTCGCTCTTTCTCTTGAAACTCTTTGCCTTTTACCTTCAAGTTCTTCATATATTATAATTACTTAGACATTTCTACTCCCTTGTCGTATTCAAATTAACAGGTTCCTTTATTAGGCCTGTTACCTTTATAAACAAACATAATATACACAATATAATATGTAAGTGTTTCCAATTTAAATCTTTTTAATGGAATCTTAAATTTTAACGCATCATAAACCTGGTGTGTTTTTTTCTTTATTAATATTTTTTAATATTTGCATTTTTATTTAAAACTTTAAGATTGCAATATAGTGTACTGGTTTTTTGTGTTCTTCTAACTTTCATTTCGCGCAGTTCTTTATGCTCTGTTCTGTCATTTTCATGCAGCAAAATCTCATTATGTTTTTTTTTTTTTTTTTTGTGGCTCCATAGCTTGCCCTGGCTGGTCTACTATTCTTTGGGGCCAGTAGCAGTCGTAGTAGCTGTGCTCACCTAACCTAAACCTAGTGCCAAATGCATTCAATAGAAGCAGTCCACACTCTACTGGCTGCTCTATGGGGTGTTGGAAAGTGGTTCGTCGTTTGCCGCTTATCAACTTCAATTTTTTTTTTTTTTTTTTTTTTTTATTTTGCCACATAGAGAGTTTTATGCGTGTGTTTGTCTCTAGCTTCTATATAATCTGGGAACTCGCGAAGTCTTGCAGCATATTCATTTCTTTTGCCATTTGCTTTATTTATTTTCCATGGGATTTATGTTTTTGGGTTATGGCGCTTGTCTTTGATGTTGCTATTATATATTTTTCTCATTTTTATTTTCATCACAGTGCCTTTTGCTCGCTCTTCCACAATTTTTTCATTACTTTTCATTTGCTTCAGTTTGATAACGTTGCGCGCAGCTAGCTAGTTTTTAAAGCCTTTTCAAATTCTATTATGCGACAGCTTTGCTCCTGACTAATGAAAAAATGGAAGACTGGCAAGAAAAAACAAAAAGTAAAAGAACGTGAAAATAAACCATAAAAGATGCCGTCTGCTCAGTTATATGAAGACAAGCAGCGCGCCCAAGGCTCTATAGCTGGGGAGTAATTCACAAATGGGGTTTCTTCGTCTTCTTCTGCACTTTTCTTCTTCTTCTTCTTTGATATAATTAGTTGGTGCTGTTTTGGTTGCGGCTTTGCCTAATTAAGTTGTAGACTTGGCATAGTTTTGACAATAGATTAAGGCAAAAAACGAAGACAGACAAACAGTAGAGAATTTAAAGTTGAAATTTTTTCTATAGATTTTAATGCACATATGTAGAACAGTATGACAAATATTACAAAATAAATATTATAAATAAATAAATAATTATAAATTGCATAAAATACAATTCTTCACAGTTATAGATTGATTTCGTCCTATATAAATCTGTCAGAGCTGCAAAACCTTGGATAGTGGCTCCACTCAGTAGTCTTCCGCAGATGGTTTATTCATATTATAATATTAAAATAAATTTATATTTTAATATGAAAATGCACATGAATTTTCGCTTTATTCCAGCA